GTGTCCGCTAAAATAAATCATGCCAAAATTATATAGATTGGCAATTATTAAATAACAAATAACAAGTATACTGACATGGCAACATTCCATGTAGTCGTTCGGTTGCAAGTTTGATTTAATTTTGGATAATGATCGAGCGCAGATTGCGTATTCTATAGATTATTACAAAGCACTTGTGAATGGGGAAAAGTTTTAAAGTCTAAACTCTAATCATTTCCAAATGTTTAATATCCATGTAATGTGGATTCGAATTGGGTAAAGGACTACCGCTATTTGGCATTAGGCGGGCACAGACATTTGCTTTTTGTAAAATTATTTTGCTGTAATATTTAAAATGTTTGAGTAAAAAATTATTCAGATTCCTCACTTCGCTATCCCCTTTTTTGTTAGAATGTAGAATTCTTAAAATCTGTTGGAGCGTAAGCTCTTTATTAGCATTTATATATCTATACATGTATTTAATTACATTTCTCGTTTGTACTCTTGACAAAAGATGTTGAATTTCCTGATATCTTGCCAATTCGTTGCATGCTTGTGACAATTATTAAGAGGTGTATTTTAAAAATGCTGAAATCAATATACGCCATGTACGAAAGGCTAAAAGGTTCATTCGAAATTTGAGTTTCCAAATACGAGATTCAGGATCTAAATTAACCAATCATAAGGCGGTTTAAGATTTAACTACTTCCCTTTGCTAAATTTTGACAATCAATCAAAGAATCTATATAAACCAAAGAGGTTAGTTGATTAAATTACAATACAAGAAAGTGTGTTATATATATCAAAACGAAATTTAAGAAATGTGTTTTTGGTCTGCAAAATATACTTACATTTATATAATTACTCCTTAAATAATATAATAGATCTATATCAAGAATATATACAGTATTTTCTCATTTGTTTCCTGAGTAGATGTCATAATTAATGTAAATATGATTGAATTCATGAAAAGTGCAAATAAGGGTTGTACGAGAATTGTAGTCGACGAGAAGTATAAGTACTATGCAATATAACAAGTTACAAGCAAGTATAAAATTAGTAATGCGGTTTTCAAAGTGGATAGTGTGTGACAAGACAAGTTATTGCAAAAGTTTGGTATAAACCAGGAAACAGTCCCTTTTGAAGGGATGGCTGAAACATGCAACTTAAAGCTGAACACGATTCAGTAAAGGAATTTGTCCACCATATTCGATTTGACTCTCGCTATATAAATCCGCTCACTAAGTCACTGTTTATTGTAATCAATTATCATCAGTGTAGACGGACATATGCTATGCAGCATTCGGTAGCCAAAAAGAAAAAAAAAAAACTAAAAAAACAAAAAACAAGAAAATGACTGTGTACTTACAACAGTTGCACAGGTCAGTGCAGTATACAAATATGTAACTGCTATAGAATGTACTGTTATTTCGTACATTATTTTGACATGTAACAGGGGAGATTATTTTTTAAAGGTGACAGACTGGAGTGTGTCCCTGTTCATCGTCATTTAGGTCTATTGTTATCACAAAACCTTAGCTGGACAGAATACATTGATAGCATTGTAAACAATGCTTATAAGAAACTCGGGCTTTTGAAAAAACTAAAGTTTAAAATCGGCAGGACACACCTTTCAAAATTGTATATCACATTTATCAGACCCTCGCTCGAATACGCTTCAATTGTTTGGGATGGCTGCTCTAATAATGATGCCGAAAAGCTTGAAAGAGTTCAATTATCTGCAGCTAGAATTGTTACAGGCCTTCCAATTTTTGTATCAAGAGAAATACTTTACTCTGAAACTGGCTGGGAAACATTGAAAGTTAGGCGCTATAATGCAAAAATGACCACAATGTACAAAATTCATAATGGTAGTGTACCTGAATATTTGAATGACATTGTTCCAAACAAGCGTGAAAACATTTCAAAATATAATACCCGTAATAAAGAACAATACGCTGCCCCAAGATGCAGATTAGAATTATATAAAAGGTCTTTTATTCCTGACGCTGTGAAACAGTGGAATTTATTAAAGACAGAAACTAGGGAAGCCATCTCACTCAATGCATTTCGAAAAAACTTTACTACAGAAGTAAAAAATCACCCAATCTATTTTTCATTTGGCAAACGTTATACAAATATAATACATACTAAACTCAGACACAACTGTATACTTAATTATGATTTACACAAAAGAAATATTATTAATAGCCCTTTATGTTCATGTGGAAAGTATGAAGATGTTTACCATTTCTTCTTTGCCTGCAGAAATTATCCAAACGCTAGGAATAATCTTTTCAATCGCCTATTTTTACTTGACGAATTGGTCAATATTGACACAAGTTTGTTATTATGTGGTGATGTAAATTTGCCTGTTGAAACAAACACATATATTTTTGCTGCTGTGCATAAATTTATTGACGAATCTTGTAGATTTTAAATTGTTATATTTCTGAACAAATATTCCACTTGTATCTCTTTTGTATTTATATCTCTATGTACTACATGTATTTTTATTGCATGACATATAGTTATATTTAAGGAGAGGAACTCGTAAGTTGAAAGAACTTGTTTCCAATCCTTTTGTTTAATACAATAAAATATGTTCAAAACAACAGGGGAGATCATTATACAACTTTACTTGTTTATGTAAAAGAATATTTGTATAAGGTTTTTTGATCTCCCCATTTATTGTATTCTTTAATACTCATTGTCATTTTCAATAAATGACAATTCACACAAATATGGAGTTGTGATTTTTATACAGGAAGAAAGTGGAAGGTTATTTAGATCTCAATAATATGTAAACAAACAGGTATTACATAATACAGCATTATTGTCAAATAATAGCATTTATGTAATCATGTGTTTTATGGTACCAGGTTTTTGTTTTCTTAAAATCAAAACATATCATATGTATGTGTATTTGGCGTCTATCGGGGAATTAGCCAAACCTGTGTACATTAACCAATCAGAAGCGTGTATTTTCTTGTGTCTCAGATTAGCGCCACTTCACTGATTTAGAGGGAAAACAAAAACACGTTAAATTTTTCTACTTAAGAAATCACCCACCCACCTTCCCCAGCTTTCACCATCAGTCAAATGTCAAACATTTATGTTTATGGTAAAACATGTTTGATTATTTAATGTTATCTTCTTTTCTTAAAACACAACAGTGGGTTGTGTGGGGGGCTTCTGTTTTTATTTTTGAACGCCAACTTTTTGCTTGTAATGTATATATGTTTTACAATTTTTTCTGTTATTTCGTACATTATTTTGACATGTAACAGGGGAGATCATTATACAACTTTACTTGTTTATGTAAAAGAATATTTGTATAAGGTTTTTTGATCTCCCCATTTATTGTATTCTTTAATACTCAGTCATTTTCAATAAATGACAATTCACACAAATATGGAGTTGTGATTTTTATACAGGAAGAAAGTGGAAGGTTATTTAGAACTCAATAATATGTAAACAAACAGGTATTACATAAAAGGTAATGCAAGATAACCAGCACGGCCAAGGGTCGCCATTCCATGCAAGCCGATACCCGTGGCATTAAAACAGTGAGGTGTAACGATCGAATGTTAATGGTAATTAGACCCCGATGCTGATATTCTAGAAAGTAATTAAAAAATGGTGCATGCCTATTTACGATTCGTGTTTAGCTTCAATAGAGATGTGATTTCTCTTTGTTCAGCTAATCGGATACAATAAGTAAACAAACAAGCTGAAAACAAAAAACAAAAACAAAACAAAAAACAAAAGATAAATAAAAAAAGAAAAAAACTAATAGTCCTGGTTAAGGAGTACTGGAATCTTCCTAACTCCCTCAATGATATACTCTTTAAATGTTTTATTATACCGATACAGGCCGGTCACGGTAGCCTTGCGGGTTGCCTGGGTTCGATTCTCGTCCACGGCGCCGCGTCATACAGAAGTGGTAAACATAGGTAGTGACTGTTCTTTCGCCAAGCGCTCGGCATTGGAAGTGAAAGTCACGGGTCTTTCGGATATGACCTTAAAAACGTAGCTTCCGTGTCACGGTAGGCGTGGGCACAAGAAAGAACCCTCACTGCTCAATGGTACTGAGTGCCGAGTATAGGTCTAAATTTGAAGCCCTTCACCGGCAAGCGGTGACGTCTCCATATGAGTGCAAAATTCTCGAGAAGGACGTTTAACAATATACGATCAATCATATACCAATACAGAAGTAAAAAAAAAAAAGGAATAAGAATGAAGAGGGATCAGCTTTTGGAGCGGGGATTAGCTCACTTGACTAAAGCACGGAGATTAGTCCATTAACATATTATACCAATAGAAAATTAGAATATAGAAGATTACGGATAACCCGGAATTAGCTTCCAAAGAAGGGATTAGTTTATTTGACTAACACACGGGGATTAGTCCGTCCACAGTGATTTCTAGGAAATTATTCACATTTTACTACCTAATTTTTATATAGTAGAGGTATAATAACAGCTTCGCCCCTTATGCAAATTATCCCATGTTTCCCACAATCTTTGATGCCCTGGCATACTATACTAACTAGACAGTCATTCATTAAATATAGTAAACTTTTGTTTTAATTGGAAAATTAAAAAATCCATGCATATTTTGTCTCAATGTAACTAAAAATTTATGTTTGTTTCTTTTCGATACATATAACATTTATTATTTGGCAAATGACCTGCTTGTTTTCAAATTCTCCATCGATTTCTTGGTTTAAAAACTTAAAGAAGGGAAGTAATCAAATATTGAATCAGCCTTTTAATTGGTTAATTTGGATCTTGAATCCCGAAAACGAGTTCCGAATCTCGTATTTCGAAGCTCGAATGAGCCCTCCGGGCTTTCGTACACAATGAATCAATGATAACAAACGCACACACACACAAAAAAAATCATTAAAAGCAACCGACCTTGGAGTCGTAATCATTATTGGATAGGCCCTAATTCTGTGCTATTGATCGGAAGATTGCTTTTGTTTGAATGATCAATATTTTTCTTTATAAACTATTTTAACATCTTCAATTCTACATTCAGCGATAGGTGGTATTTCCTTTTAAAACGGAATTAGCCATAGAAAAAATGGACCTTCAGCAGGTATATTATCTTAATTCTTTTAAAAAAAATTATATTCTATATTTTGAATCTCTTTTACATTTGTTTTCAAGACTGAAATTTTTTAAGATGAACATTTTTTAACTTAGTATCTTACTAAAAAAATATTTTTGCAACTAATCGAGAAATTTTCATTTTTTAAGTATGAAAACTTGTTCTCTTAATATTTTCAGTCAAAAGACCACTGGGTTATATTATCGAATATGTTTTAGATTTCTGTTCTCTCTCTATTTAAATGATTTAGAATCATTCCTAACCATGAATGATATAACTGGTCTAGAGAAAATTATTGAGAATAAACTTCATGTATATAATAAGCTTTTTGCTCTGCTATATGCTGATGACACTGTTTTATTTGCTGAAAACCCTGAGTCATTACAAATTATGTTGAATTGTTTTCATGAATATTGTATAAAATGGCGTTTAAAAGTAAATGTTGACGAAACAAAAATAATAATTCTTGGAAGAGGTCAAATAACACAGGATTTATATTTTACATATGATGGATTAGTCTAGAGATTGTTGATAGTTATAAGTATTTAGGAATATGTTTTTCAAAATCAGATTCTTTTAATCAAAATATGAAAGAACAATACAATAAATCTGTAAAAGCTATGTATGGAGTGATATCAACATAATCTTTCTATGGATTGTCAGATAGATTTATTTGGCAGAATTGTACAATCAGATTTGTTATATGGATGTGAAATATGGGGATTTACAAAAAATACTTTAATCGAAAAACTTCGCTTAAAAAATTGTTAATATATACTAGGTTTTAACACTAAAACGCCAAAGTAGGCAGATTCCCACTTATCATTAATATTAAGGTGAGAATGATTTCTTTATGGGCAAAAGTACATTTTTCTCAAACGATGTATGTTCTAGCATCAAGGCATAATTTGCCTTGGGTAACTATGTTAAAACATTTTAGATGATTGTAGATTATCTTATTTATGGACAACACAACAGATGTACAGTGTAGCATGGGTAAAAAATGAAATAAAAAGAATACTTGTTGACCAAAATATCAAAAACAGGCAAAGTAATGTTTTAACTCATCAATGGGTGTAAATTATCGCATTTATAAATACTAGAACCAGGAAGATATCTTGTTAATCTACCTAGAAAATTTTCAATTTTGTTATGTAAATTTAGGTGCAACAACTTTAAACCCCTTATTGAAACTGGGAGATGGAATGGTCTTCCAAGAGAACAAAGGATTTGTACTTTATGTGATCTTTATAAGATTGGTGATGAATTCCATTATGTTTTTGAATGCACACAAAAATAAATTAAAGAGGCTAGGTTAAAATATATTTCAAACACTCTCACATGAAGACCAAATATAGAGAAATTTAAGCAACTTTTTACAACAACAAACTGTCCAGCATTGAAAAATTATGTAAATTTTGATTTATTGTCAAACAAATTATAGATGAAAATAACTGATTAGAACTTGAACGCGATATTTTGTAATGTTTATTATACATGTATTATATTCTTTTTCTATGTGTTTGTATCTTTTCTTACCTCCTCTCTACAATGTATGTTTGTACATTTAAGAGAATAAATTATTGTCTTTGTCATTGTCAGTGCAAAGAAAACTTATCACTTGAGCTGAACAAATGAATTTTTCCGCTGTTTAGAGATTAATCATTGAATCTTAAAGGTTTGAATAGTTGATGAGTTAATAATAATAATTAATGGTTTTGTATAATTGTGCATGACAACTACCAGTAAACTCATAAACTCATAAGATGTTAGAACTTGATTCCGATCCATTTACTTATTTCAATTAAACATGTTTTAAACGAAACAAAACTGGCTTTTAAAAATATACCCACATAGTGGTATTTTCTCTGGAAGTTATTTTTATGCAAGGTAATTAATACCAAGACCTTATATAATAAAATGAGGATGAGTCATGGTAAAACCATATTGGATTTCCCCTCAAAGAAGAAATATGGAAGCCCCTTTAGGATCTATCGTTAAAATATTTATAATCTATAAAGCAAATTGGAGAATTTGTTAAAAAAATTAATTCGTAATTACAGTTTCGTTGGATTTGTTAAAATTTAAGAATAAAAATTGTTTTTCACAAATTTGTTACATTTGTTGACACTTATAAAAATATATTATACACGTACTAGAATAAATTTGTTAAAAGGAATTTTAAAATTTGTAAAAACTGAATAATTTTTAAATTATTGACTGAACTGGTTCACAACAAAATACTTTAATTATCTTAAAAAGTGAGGGTTTGATAATTTTTCTTACATAAAAGAAAATGTGGCACGCTGCTTTAGACGGAGAGGAAAACCAAGTTAGAAGATTAATCGAAGAGGGTGCTAATGTCAATGCAGCAACTGATCTGGTAAATGAACACGAATGTCTTCTCCTTTTCAATGTAATTTTCTTTCATCGATTGATCTTAGTTTTTTTAAAGGTCCAAAGTTTAAGAGTGCTTTTCTGATCATATTTTGTTCGGGTTTGCCTCTCTGTCTGTCCATCTGTTTGTAAACTTTTTACATTTTTGGTCTCCTTTCACTAGACTAATTTCAACCGATGTTGCCACAAAGTATCCTTGGGTGGAGGAAATTCAAATGTGTTTAAAATGGGCCAGGGGTTCCTGGAATGGGATATCATAACGCATAAATAAAGAAAAATAAAGTGAATCCCTTAAAAAATTCTTATCAAGAAGCATATTGGACTAAAAGATGCGAAAATTATGTGTAATAATTTTCAGGTAAGCCAGATTCATTTTTGTTCAAATCGAAACTTCAGTAGTATGATGAGGCAGCAATGAGTGATCAAATATTTACATAGGAATACATGAGAAAATATTTGAAACATCTTTTTGTCGAGAACAACAAAGCCTTGGTTGGTCAATTTTATTTAGAAATATCCTTTGCCATAGTAGGGCGAAAACAAATTTGTTCTGATCATGACCTCTGGAGGTAGGGAAGCGCCACAATGTGTGAATAAAAGTTTACACAGGAATACATCGAAAAATCTTCAAAACTCTTTTGTCAAGAAAAGCTTAGCCACGATTAATCATATATATGAATAATTCAGAGCCATCCTTAAGTAATGTAGAATAAAATCTGTTTAAGAGACCTAGGGCTAGAGCTGGGCCATGATATACAAGAAAGGTTTACCAAAGGAAGGAAGGAAGTGTGTATGAAAATATGTAGAAAAAAACTTCTCCAAAACAGCAAAGCCTTGATTGGTTATATATGGAAGCATTCAAAGGTCAAGTTTGTCTAAAGTGTCATCCGGTGGTAGGATGGGCCGGGGCTACAATATTTAATCGAGGTTATGTAGAGGAATATGAAATATACACATCAACAAAACGTTTTTCTTACAAACAACAAAGCCATGGTCAAAAACGTATTTTCAAAATTGAGTATCATTTTTCTGATTGGTATAATTGTACAGTGTATATAATCGAATGCAACTTATTTGCATTTTGTTTAAAACGACGATATTTCGGTGAGTTTGTTTACGGGTTATGACTACTGGGTAACAGAAATGAACGTTTCAATACGGGACTGATTTCTGGAGTTTCCTGATAAGATAAAGTATACATGGGAGCGATATGGCCTACGGTTTTTATAATTAATTAGATTTAATAAACTTTGATAGTGTATAAATTCTGCATTGGCAGCTTGTCATAATATGCAGTATACATAATATAACATTTTTATGTTGTGCATAATGGTGCATAGTAATTCGTTGAAATTTGAAGTTTAAGGCGACGGCATTACACCGAGCTTCTCTCATGGGAAGACCGGAAGCTGTAGATGTTCTTCTAAAATGCAGAGCTAATGTGGATCAAAAGGACGGTGTAAGTCTAATACATAAAAATAATTGGACAAATTTATTTTAAGGTCACCTGAGTAACTCAGGTGATCTATTGCTATCCGTTTTCGTCCGTCGTCCGTAGTGTGTTAACATTTAAACATTTTCAGCTTCTTCTCTGAAACCACCAAACCAATTTCAACCAAATTTGGTATACAGCATCTATGGGTAAGGAGAAACAAAAATTGTGAATTTCATGGTCCCCGCCCCCTTGGGGCCTGAGGGGTGGGGCCAAAACCACTAAAATTATTGCAATCTTTAAAAATCTTCTTCTTTACTCCTGGACATCAAGCAGGCAAACTGTTGGCACGAATGTAATGAGCATTGTGTCCTCTACCAAAATTTTGAAATTCATGGCCCCAGGGTCAGGGGATCTAGTGCTAGGGCGGGGCTATATAGATTATATAGTGAAAATGTATTATTTCTTTGAAAATCTTCTTCTCTGCTTCTGGGTATTAAATAAACTAACTAAGTACATAGTTATAATGAGCAAGAGTGCCTCCTCCAAAATTGTGAATTTTATGGCCCCAGGGTCAGGGGTTCTGGTGTTAGGGCGGGGCTCTATTGATCATATAGTGAAAATGCATTAATTCTTTGAAAATCTTCTTCTCTGCTTCTGGGTATTAAATAAACTAACTAAGCACATGGTTATGATGAGTAAGAGTGCCTCTTCTTAAAATGTTGATTATAATAGACCCAGGGTCAGGGGTTCTGGTATTAGGGCAGGGCTCTATTGATTATAAAGTGAAAATGCATTATTCTTTGAAAATCTTCTTCTCTGCTTCTGGGTACTAAATAAACTAACTAAGTACATAGTTATGATGAGCAAGAGTGCCTCCTCCAAAATTATGAATTTTATGGCCCCAGGGTCAGGGGTTCTTGTGTTAGGGCGGGGCTCTATTGATCATATAGTGAAAATGCATTAATTCTTTGAAAATCTTCTTCTCTGCTCTTCTGTGTATTAAATAAACTAACTAAGCACATGGTTATGATGAGTAAGAGTGCCTCTTAAAATGTTGATTATTATAGACCCAGGGTCAGGGGTTCTGGTATTAGGGCAGGGCTCTATTGATTATAAAGTGAAAATGCATTATTCTTTGAAAATCTTCTTCTCTGCTTCTGGGTACTAAATAAACTAAGTACATAGTTATGATGAGCAAGAGTACCTCTTCCAAAATTGTGAATTTTATGGCCCCAGGGTTAGGGGTTCTGGTGTTAGGGCGGGGCTCTATTGATTATATAATAAAAATACATTAATTCTTTGAAAATCTTTTCCTTTGCTCCTTGGTTTTATGCCAATGATCCAAGTACCCGGTATATATATTTATGATGAAGAAAGGTGCTTCTAGCAAAGTAGTTTTTTATGCTCCCTGGGTCAGGGGGGGGGGGGTTACATAGTCTGAAAATAAATTAATGCTTTGAAATCTGCAAAATTTTGAAATATGCGGCCCCTGGGCCAGTGGTTCCTTTGGGGTGAGGTGCACAACTGGGTATAAAGTGGAAGTGCATTTTTTCTTTGTTACTCTGATCTACCTCTGGGTATTAAGTAAATAGAGTAAGCATGTTAAGTTAATAATTATGATAAGCAATGGTGCCTCTTCCAAAATTGTGAATTGTGAATTTCATGGCCTCTGGTTTAAAACACGAACCAAATTTGATTGCTTGAAAGTTGTTACACAATACTCAGGTGACCTATAGGGCCCGTGGGCCTCTTGTTAAAAAAGTGATGTTTTGCACATGTGTGCTGAATGTAATCCTATTAAAAACTCATGGATTATGTCAGCGATTATTTGCGGCAAAGTGCGTTAAAATTGGGACAAAATCAACGCACTTTGAAAATTTTTTACAAAGTGCGTTAAGAGTGTACATCAACATTTTTACCATGTGGACATTTAACGCACTTTGAAAAAAAATATGTATAAAACAAAAATTCTAGACTTAGATATAAGTAATTGAGAGAATCAATTTTTAATAATTATATCTTTCGAAAAACGTTTTAATTTACATGTATTGATTAACCCTCATCGAGAACAAGGAGAAGATGAGTAAATAGAAGGTTTCTCAGACCAACTCTTTTTTACTTAGGTAGCAAATTGAAAGTGGACCCCCATCCCCCCCAGGTAAGGCCCAATTTTTAATTCCTATATTATGTATATCTTTGCAAAACATTTGTGTGACTAACCCCCTCCCCCCGGTACTGATGCCTATGTTACACCCAAATATATGTATTTGCATAACTTGTGTGAGATTGAAAATTTTCAATAAATTTTAGTTTACATTAAATGCATGGAAACTGGAAAAAATACAGTAAAGTACAGGAAAACATTTAAGAGAGAAAGAATTTTCAAAGTATGGAAAAATAAAAATCGCCCACTTTCACATCCTGAAGTGACCAACGGGTTCAATTATTTATCATACCTAAGATTTTCAAGAATATTGACCAAGCCATACACATTTTTTCAAAGTGCGTTAATATGGTCGATATCAACGCACTTTGAAAAGAAATTTTATTTCTTCAAAGTGCGTTGATTTGGTCCCAAATTTAACTCACTTTGAAAATTTTTTTCAAAGTGCGTTGTAACAAAGCACATATACTAGTACGGTATATTCTGTATAACCCTTAAGGTGGGAGTTTAAAAATGACAATGATTCATTGAAAACCCAAATCACACTTGCTTAGAATGATTAAAATTGACATTAAAGACTTTTTAAATAAACATTTCGTTTAATATGTCATGTTTTGAATACATTGAATTTTAAATATTTGATTTGTGTATTTCAGGATGGTTTAACAGCTCTGCTAATGGCCGTCAACAAGGGTAATATGGTGATTACTGAACGCTTGATCAAAGAAGGTGCTGATATTAACGCAACTAACAGGGTGAATGTCTTACATAATTTTCTATTGAAAAGAAATATTAGGTTAAATGCCTCAATTTTTAAAAACGAAAACACAAAATTAAACAATATTGTTTAAAAACAATCTTCAATTTGTTACACGAGTATGTTTTGCCTTTGTTCCTTTCTTTTAATGTAATTTAAACCTATTTTTAACAAGGATGGCAAAGCTGCTTTGCATTTCGCTGCATTACAAGGAAACCACGTCATATGCAAACGACTCATAGAAAAAGGGGCAAAAATTGAGTTGAAAGATAATGTAAGAATATAACAAAGGAAAATAATTTAAAAAAGAAATATGCCAAATTAAAATATATATCATAATGTTAACGTTGGTTATGAATTCAGAGATTTCATTGTACTATTTTTGTTTTTAAATCAAGAGATTTTAATGTCCTATTTTTCAAAAGTGAAGCTGAACATTTGTTCCTTAAAAATCATATTCAGGGAACAACGTTTAAAACGTTGTCAAGCCATTTTTTTGACCAGGACAACGAAAAACATGTTATGCCTTGTCTTTTTAAAGATGTTTACGTGAATCACATAAGTTGTAATACTATCAAATAGTAAAATAACAGACTCAATATACTGAAATTATCATTATGCTGGCATTCTTTATGTGTAATGACTCGAAAGACGCGAACCAAATCTTGCTGAAAGAACCACAACTTGGATTGTTATAAGGTTTTATTGCATTTTGAAGACATTGTTTTGGTCGGCAATAACAAATGTATAGGCCCTGTGTTAATTTTCAAACAGACTTTGTGCTGAAATCAAGCTAAATATGATACCCACGTCTGATTCATAATAATATGGTGACACCAAGTTTATAGCGATATTAATCAAAACACCTACATGTATTCTTTGATTTTTACAGGATGGGAATACTCCAGTAGAACTAGCAAAACAAAAAATCCAAGAGAAAAAAGAAGAAGGACTTCTTGAACATACAGAATCTTTCTATAAAACTGTGCATTTAATTGACACGATTATACAAGTAAGCAACAACTGTTTAAGTCTAGAATCACATTTAAAAATAGCTCTTGAAAAATTAAAATATACAGAATAGTAGATAATAATTTGCCAAGTAATCCCAAATGACGAGTAAAGAACTAATCAAAATTTTATTCATATAAATGCCGAAGACGGGTGGGAAAGACGTGCAGATAGCTTCAGATATAAAAAAAAAATCATATGTTAAAGGCCGAGGTTTTCAACCGTACGGTTTTCCTCAGGTAAGTTTGGTGTGGGGTGGAGCTTAATCGAAGCGGCTGAGAAGCCCCGAGGGAACGACGCTGGCTTGTGTATAGATACCTATATACACAGGATGTTAACTGAGACCCTGGGTGTATTACCTGTATGCGTTTTCATACGACTTTGTAAACCGAGGCCGTTTTTTTCATGTTTAGCTCATGAATTGAAATGCGAAATAAAGCATTTTTTGTTGCAGACAGAATCCTTCTCAATTTCTTCCTTTTAAAATAATTGATATTTTTAATAATTCGACATTTTTTATATACAATGTGTTTTTTAATGAAGTGTTATAACGAAAATACATTTAGCACATCTGTCGTTGTAATCTGGCGACAAAAAGGGAAGTAATTCAAATTACACGTCGTCTACGCAAAACGAAAGAAGAAAGTGAATCATATTTAACAGTCTCTCGTAGAAACGATGTTTTGAGAATAAAATGTTGAAGTAGAAATATTATTGTCTAAATAAATATAAATCTTTCTTAGATCAACCCTACTTGATTTTTCCATGACGCACGGTCTGTAAAAATGACCAGGGCTTCGGACCGGGGTTGATTCCCCGACAGCTATGAAACGGGAAAAGAATCATCTGCTTCGTTTCTTTTTTCTTTCGGGATTCATTATTAATTTCAAACATTAAATACAAAGCAAGATGTTATATTCCGAGTAATTTCTCTTCTAAAACTTATTTTTATACCGTATCTTCGTCACCATGTCTCGAAGAAAAGCGACACGTACAGGTTTATCTTATAAATTCGCTTGACTCATGAATAATGTTACAATGTTGTCATACTTGTTTTAAAAAATAATTTTATTTAATTCCATGATACTAGCTTCAAATGCAGGTTGGTTTATTTTGTTAATTAATGGAGGAATAAATGTACGTTAACTCATGTTTTGACACGGAAATTAAAATTTTCAATTGTAATCGTGATATGAAATCCTCCCGTTTAAATTTAATATACATGTATATTATATAGCCATGATTTTCTTGACATTTATTTAATTATTTGATAGATTGATTATATTAATGGCATGTTCTTATGAAGTAAAAAAAAGAAAAGAACGATTTCATTGCTTCTTTATCACGTTAACATAAGCGGTAGGCATCAAAAGCCTAAAAGTTAATTCGATGGTCGGTACGATCTCCAGACAAAGTACACAAGATATACACAACAGCTGCCAACTAAATGTCAATCAAATCAAAGTATCCAATCCCAGGCTTAATTTCAGATGATTGACAGAGGTTCTAAGACCAGGTAAATTAGAAGGAGGTGCTTATTTCCTCCCCCTTTAAGTTTAGAATTTAATTATGTAGAGTTTCTTAACGTTATCATTTTTGAAGATCGTAGCATTTTGATTTTTGTGCGAATTTTGTAAATTGTAGAGATACATATGTGTTACATGAAGTATGCTTTAATGTTATATGTAATGTCAATGAAAGTTATTTTATTTTGAGATTTGCTTTTTAACCTTTAAAAGTTTGTGGCACCATAGGCAGTTCGCCTGCTTTGTTCACACACCCTCTTTATTATGCAACTTAAGGACAGACGAGACGTTCCTTAATAATAGATAAATTTTTCTAAGAGTTTGTCATTGAAGTATTGCTACTTAAACATGTTTACTCACAAATAAATATATGGAGATAACGAAAAGTATTCATGTTCAAAAGTACATTTAATCAATGCAAATCGGAAGCAGACTGAGCAAACCTGGCCTCTAAAGCATCAGAGGTGGGATTAGTTGCCATTGAGGAGTGAGCATTCCCTGCCGAGCAGTAGTATCCAATGAAAGGTCTTGCCACAAAGAAATAGAGCTATAGAGAAAGAAAATATTATGATTATGTGATTCTGTAAACATTGAAACTAAATCTAGCTTGAATAAATACAACTAAACTTAATCCAGTTTAATTGAAAACAAGAAGAAATGATGCACAACTGAGAAATATTTTTTTTTTGTTATTAAACAATGATCTTAAGACCTTTCAAATTTTGATCGCCAATCAGGAGGATTACCTCATACCTTTTCCTTTCAATTCACTAGTATGCTCTTTGTAGGATGAAAGAAAAGCACAGATATTTCATACACGAATACTCAATCAAATGCATGAAATGGGAATGGAAAAAGATGAAGCAGAAAGATTCCAACGGTATTTGGAGGAGGGGTCTGAGGAATTTTATGAACTTAATCTAATGCTGATTGGTGAATCAGGAGTCGGGAAAACTACTATTGCCAAAGGTCTTCTTGGGGATCTTGATGATCCCGAAATGCCATTAGAGAGAACTAATGGTATAGATATACATTTACAGAGATGCCAATACAATAGAGTTACCCGCCAAATATTTCCTGTTGAGAGAGGTTGGGATTTTTTAAAGTTTTATTTTTGTATCAAAATATCTAAGACTCATCAATCAAACAATTGAATATTTTTGATGTTTTATGTCTCTTAATATACCCCCTCCAAACCCTCCTTGAAACAACAAAAGCTATGACATGAATAATTTGTTAATACCTGTTAAAAGATTATTTTGTTCAACGGTGGGGAAGATGTTAAAAAAATATTATCCGTTTTTCCATTAATTTCTATTGTGAAAAACAACGATTTACAAAAATTTTAAAGTAACACTTTTCCTTATCCCAATAAGTTTTGTTGTGTGAAAATTGATATAAATATCTACGTAAATATAAAAAAAAATCTTTTAGGTACTTTACTTTTAAAAACGACTTTGGAAATAGGCGACATAACAATGCTATCGTTAGCAGTTCTATTTTTGGCATACTTTGTAAAAGATTCGTCAAATTCTTCAAAAAAATCTTCAAAAAATTCTTCAAATTCTTCAAAAAAAATGTTCAAAAATCTTCAAAAAGATTCTTCTTTATTTATGTCGACATGTCTTCTTCCTGTATTGGCATGTATTTTAAATAAAAAAATCATAGTTTATCCTAACTTTTTTCCTTCTTTGCTCCCAATATATCATACTGTTCTTCTTGTTGTGAAACGGGATGAATCATTAATTCTCATTGAATTCTTGTTTGTTTCTAGCCGAAAATGAAGATCTCTTCCTAGGGTACAGGTTAGGTATGGTAATTTACAAATCTTTGGGGTCATCAAAAAACAAATACGAAACAGAACAGTCACATGTTGAAAGGACTGAAAGGACTGGTGATAGCAACACTCAGGAACAGGTTCTTTATTGCTGTAACAACAGAGATTTACACTCTGTTGAGGACAAAGACAAAGGGGATGCTACAAAAAAAAGAAAAAGGGATCAATCTCCACAAAGTGACTTTCAAAATCTTGCGAAAAAGGCAAAACTAGCTTCTGCAGAAAAAAGATTGGTTCCAGTCACAGTTTGGGATTTTGGTGGACAGGAAGTTTTCTACGCAACTCATCAAACATTCTTGTCAAGCAGTTGTTTATATATGCTGGTCTTTGATTTGAATGTACTGGACAAACATTCGCAAGATACTGGTTTGAATGACAAATGTAATTTTGTTAATTTGACTATGATATATTTGGTAAATTAAACAATTTGATAGATCTATAATTATTTAAAATGAATATTTTTTGTTTTTCAGCCATGGAAAAAATTATTTTTTGGATGAATTCAATACTAACATACTCAAAAAATGATGTTTCAGGATTTCCCAAAATTGTTCTTGTTGGAACACATGCAGATCTATTTCCAATGGTATGGTATAAAAATCAAGAATGAAAAAATTAAAGGTATATCAAGATAAAACTTATTCAATAAAAAAAATTATGGTAATAATTATTTCTTTATGTATTTTGCAGGAAAATAAAGGTATCAAATTATGGGAAATTGTCCAGAAACTTGAAGATTTCTTCCGAGGTTCGACGCAAAGGAGTCATCTTATAATAGATATCCGCTATTTTATTAACGCTACAGATGTCAATGGAGTACCATTTGAACTTCTTCGACAATGCATCATGGAAACTGCAGAATCACTGCCAGATTGGGGAAAACTAATTCCCCGCAAATGGATACTTTTGGAAAACGAAATATCTGATATGAAGTCATCTGGACGTAAGATAGTCTCTGTTGAAGAAATCCACAATCTATGTAAGAATAAGGGTGGGTTTGAAAGACAGGATATAGAGGACTTCTTGAATTTTCAGAATTCGCTGAGTAAGGTGTTGTACTTCAAAGAAAGATATCTAAAAGAAAAGGTAATACTTGATCCAAAGTGGGTGATTGACGCTCTATCTTCCTTTATTACAGATGAACACTTTGTAAAGCAGAAGGAAAGTTACGAAGCCAAAGATTGGCTTACATTAAAAGAAACTGGAAAGATTAGTATGCGTTTTATTGATAATTTATGGAAGGAAACCGAGTTCGGCACATTTAGGGATCATCTCATCAAGGTCCTCTGTAGACTGGACTTAATAACACAGAGCAAAATTAAAAATATGTTTTATGTTCCTAGTATGGTGCAACAAAAGTGCCCAACAGTTGATTATAACGAAATATGTCAGGCAGTTGAAGTAGGATTGGTGTCGTTCAGGTTTTCGTTCCGGAATAAATTTTTACCCCCAGCTGTTTTTTATAGGATGATCGGAACTTTTCTCTACTTGTTTGAAGAAGGGTCTCTTTCCCCTCCTAAACTTTATAGTAATTGTGTAATGATTGAATTTGCAAAGTCGAAATGGATGGTTATGTCCAAAAAAGAGCATGAAATAGAGTTTTTCGCATATCATCAGGATGAAAGAGGAAAAGTACAGAATCTTGAATCTTATCAAAATACATTTACTCTGGCATTTGATGCCTCTATCGATATAATAAAAACATACAGAACTTTCCATGAGTTTGAATTGAAAAAAGGCAAGATTCCATTCGATGTACTTTGTCAGGGCTGTCGAAAAAATGACTCCTGCTTTATCAGCAAAAAAGATTTTTCTTGTCTCAAGACATTTAGATGTCCCAAACATAATGAATACATTGCAGGTGTTGAAACCATTGAGAAGAATTTCCATTCTTTAGTAAGTACATGAACATTTCTTCGACATCTATGGTTCTTGCAGATAAAAAATAAAGAAAAAAAAAGAAAAAAAACTCAAATCATGATAAATTATCACGGAATTTTTTGTAGATTGAAGAGGAATTTACCGAGAAGGAAATTCAATGGCCTGCTATTGAAGGTTTGAATGTATTCCATGTCACCTGTAATAGTTATATCTAAATGAGAATTGAATGGTTTCAATGATTTCAATGACTAATTAACCTCTTTATTTGTAGAAAACTACGAATGTTTACTTGATTTTATAGCAAGTAAACTTGAAGAAAATGACCGCGTTATCCTTGCTGTGAATTTAGGATTTGGCATCCGGTATGTCGATAAATTTCGACATGAACAGCTATCGTCACATGAAATGTCATTTAGTCTACTATACGAATGGAAAAATAGAAATGAAAGTATACAAAAGATAGAGCATTCTTTAAGACAGATTTCGAGGAAAGATTTGTTGGACCTGTTGTCTAATTTTTCCTTTGAAGAGTTTAACAATGAAGCATCGAGATTGAATATTCCAAACCCGAACAACCTTGTAACAGATTTGGATTTAGCTTATGTGGCCAAAAATGTAGTTAATTTTAAGAGTCTTTCTAGGTTCCTAAGAATACCTGAAATAGAGCTGATTAACATTGAACACGAACACAAACAATCCTCTATTTCAATTAAAGCATTGCATAGCCTCTATTGGTGGAAAGAACAATATGAAAACCACACAAGATTACAACTTTGCTCAGGGTTGATGTATGTTGAGAAAAAAGGATTGATAGAAGAACTTAAAAGAGAGTGGGCATGTTCAGAATTTACAAAAGTGACGTGAGTTCTTGAATTAGTGTATCATGCAGGTGGTTTGATATTGGATAAGGTTTCGAGACAAGTGAAAAATTTGATACAGGTATTGGACCTCAGTAATAAACTATCTATGTTGTTTTTTTCTTATTTTTTTAATGATCTAGAAAATAACCAAGGGCCGTTTGTAATTTAGGCATATCTAACTTAGTTTTTAAAGCCATAGAGTTAGAAATTTGATAAAAATCATGATATATTGGTCTAATTATTATTATTTTACGAAAGCGTAAAGGGCTCTACAGTTGTTGTGTTATAACTCTGTATATAATCTAACATTTTATCGTCTTATTAACATATAAAGTGTAATAAATTCTAATTTATACACAATTGTATTAAGATGTATTTTTACATAATTAAAGGCAACTTCTTATGTTCAGTAGATTTTATTGCTTTAAGTTTTATCTACTTACTTAAATATTATATAAAGATTAAGTTATTGATAGAAACAAGATATTTAATCAAATCAATATAGTATTGTCAATATGAAAAGATAAACATACATGTATAGTTACATCGATATAAAAACATGCACATGTATATAAATATTTTCGAGAAAGAATTAAGAAAATAGTGTTTTTGGATTAACTTCGCGGAGGCGGGAGTTGTAATGAATCTTCACTTTACTCGGGATTCTGTAAAAAAAACGTATGCACCATGGTACGTATGTACTCGACATTGGTCTACATTGCGATATCAAATGAACACAAGAAAAAGAACAAAAATGAAAAAGGAGGCAAAGTTGACACGGTATCAACTAGATATTGATAATATTGCGATGTCGATGATGTGAACAAAAGAAAAAAGGAAAGGGTATGTAAACAACAGGGAAGTAACAACAGGGGGGCCAGGGGGGCTGCCCCGCCCCCCCCCACTTTTATTCCCAACATTACCTTTACTGTTGAAAATGTCCACCGAAAGGTTGGTTGCCCCCCCCCCCCCACTTTCGGCCACAGTATAGTGTTATGAAGGTAATGTAGTACTGTATGCAAAAAAAGAAGTAGAAGGAAGTTGGCCACTACCCCCACCACCACCCACGAAATAGGATTTCCGAGTTTGGGCAATTTACTTTACTTTTTTTTTTGCTTGTCAACTTTTACATGTAAGTAAAATTATTTTTCTGTTTGCCCCCCCCTTTCAAAAACGATGCTTCGTGCCTGAACAAGGTTGTTAAACATTGCAACAAAGATGAACAAAGGTATTGTGCAACATTGTTATATTGAAAATATTATAAGAATAAAAGATTGCAATGTTGACACAACGTCAACTCAATGTCATCCAACAGAGGGTTGTAGAAATAGTTTACAATGTTAGTTGAATAAGGGGTGTTTAAATTATGCGGACTGATATTTTAATTTACAGCGATGTCGAAAATTTCGATAAAAATCGTGTATTTGAGTCCTTTGACCTAGGACTACCTAGGAATACCTTTTTTTGACTACCTTTAAAAATGTTAACCTTGGTCATAATCTTGAAACCGGTGGTGCTAGGGTTTTATATTTCACATTTGTATTTCTTTTAAAAAGGCCTTACTTTGGGTACCAACGTATTTTATCTGCATTTGAGAAAGCTTAACTTTAGCTATATTGCCTTAAGAGGGCATCAGTGTTTCACAAGTACATTTTGTTTTGTAAATAAATTCACAAGGAGAAATGATTTATACTTTACTGATAAAAGAAACTAGTAAATTTAGAGGTTCGCAGCCCTTATCATTGAGATCTAGCACGATACCCTGATAAAGGTTTATAGCTTGATCAAGATATTACAAATACCTTGATCAAGGTATTTTATGTATTGAAAATACAAAAAAATAGATGCTGTCATGAGACAGTAATACCCGCACTAAGGTGTTTGCCTCTAAATGCACACTTCTTCATATTGGGCTTTACCAAGGAAAAAGTCAATATAATTCAATAATTTACATATTAAATACATGTACATGTATTCATCAAATTGAGCATAATATGCTCAGGTGACCATGTAGCTGCAGATCTGGTTTTATATATTTGTCTTTGATCATAACGCTACAGATCCCCATACGCAAAAAAGGTGCAATTTACGCGCAATATTTTTTGAGCACTTTTGGGCAGAATTTCTCCACTTTCTAGCATTAGTCAATCAACTACCTTTCACTCCCTAATTTTAGACACATTCTCTGGCCAATATGTATATTTTGTCCACCTCCCAGCCATTTATAGTAATCTCTACAGGCAATAAACTCGCTTGATGTGAATTTTCAGCAATCTAACAAATAATTTTAATCAAGCGAGTTTATCTCGAGTAGAGACGACTATAAAGGGTTGGGAGATGGATAAAATATACAGATTGATTAAATAATGTGCCTAGAATTAGGGAGTGAAAGGTAGTAAATTGACCGATGCTGGAAAGTGGAGAAATTCTCCCCAGAAGTGCGCAAAAAATATTGCGCCGTAAATTGCACCTTTTTTGCATTACAGGATCTGCAGTCAAAGACTAATATATAAAACCATAACGCTACAGATCTGCGGCTAGTGACCATGTGACCCATGGGCCTCCATTTTATAGGTATTTCATATTCTTAATTCATTACCAGTCGGAAATTAAACTACAGAATTAAATTAATGATGTAAATAAGGTTTGATAAAAGGGGGGGGGGGGATTTTTGGCACATAATTGGAACTTTTTAAATCTATTTTCTCATATAGATTAACAACAAATAATATTATTCAAATTAGTGTAAAGCGTTTTTGATGAATTTTTCAATATGTGCAAAGTTTATTTATATTTGATTAGGCAGAAACTTCTTGAAAGCTGCCATATACACAATCAATTTAATAGTCAACCCCCACCCGTCTCCCATCAACACACACACACAAACACACCTTATTTGTCTGTTTTTGCAAATAGGCCTAGATTGCAAAGCTAAAATAAAACATCTTTTGTAAATGATAATTTTCAATTTGTTCTTGCACTATACATGTATCTGAACACCTGCATCACATTGGGCTTGCGTCACGTACCCAACTTAAGTACTAGTTTTACCATTGGCATTATCATTTTAGATTTCACTGCATGTGCAGTAGGATACTAGTGTGCATATTTGCATATATGTCGGTAGGAATTATTTCATTTTGTGTTTTAACTGGATTATATTTCATGAAGATGACAGGGCCTAAATAATAACAATCGGTAAGTACAAGTTTTGGTATAGATTTGGGTAAAATAGTCTGAAATGCAAACGGTTAGGTTAAAGTTTAAAGGATCAAAGGTCATCCGATGCTACAATAGACGAATTTCACATTCTGAAGAGTTATCCCCCGTTATCAACGTTACATTCAGTTGCTCTGCTCTTATTTTGTATATTTGTTTAATGGACGTTGAGATTGAATACTGTTCGTTATTTCCATATCCTTCTTGCAAGTTCTAGAATTTTTTTTCTGGGAGGGACGGGGGGGGGGGGGGTTCCAGACCAGAATTTTCTGAGAAGCAAGAAAAAAAAAGAAGTTATGGTTTGGTCTGTTTTCTAGGGTGGAGGTACACTTAGGGCATCCAAAGTCATTTTTATTTCCTCCAGTATATATTATAGTCCTGCAAATTCCGGGGGAAAGGGGGGGGTGTTGAGGGGGCGATCTCCCAATCCACTTCCCTGTCCCTGTAATGACAAGTGATCATGTGACTCCTAAATAGTAGGAAACTTTTTCCATTTGACTATACATAATATTGTTTCTTGTGTTATTATGTTATGTAAATTTAATGGTATAAAGGTTATGAACCCCTAGAGGTCATCCCCACTCTCCTAATGAGCTGGAAATGTTCACAATATGACTGCATTAAATTAAATAAAAGTGCATCAATGATAAGATTACTTGACATTTTATTCATGAATTTGTGTCAACATATCTTCCTAGAATTAGGAATGAGAATCATTCAGAGATGGACCACATTAAACTATTTGTATAAACATTTTTTTTTTGCATACATGAACAAACAGGGGTCTGGGAAGGGGTGAGGGGAAGGATCGAGTTAATATTTCTTTACGTCTTAATGGTTGAAAACTCCTAAAATGAATGTTGACCTCAAATCTAACTTGTCCTCATTATTTTTCAAATGGTGGTGTCTCCATATGAGTGAAAAATTCCTGAGAGGGATGTTTAACAACAAACAAAATGACATAAAAACACAATATTGATTTGCGTTAAGAAATATGCAGGGGATTTTTTCCATCATAAATCTTCTTCTCAAGAACAGCAAGGGCATTCTTGTCCCCCATTTTGGGGAAAGGGAGGGGACACTAAATCTCATTTGTCTGTCAGTCTGTCCATCTTATTGACAGCTAGTATGTGCATCTGTCACAATAAATTTAACCTTGGTCATAACTTTTGAATGATAAGAGATAGTGCTTTCATATTTCACATGCACATTACCACAAAACTTTCTAAATATACTATGATTTTTTAACCCAAGTGAGACCTTGACCTTAAAGTTTTACCTACTTTCCAAAAAATAACATTTTAAATTGATCATTTTGAAAGAGAAAAGAAAGGGCATTCAAATTATACATGTTTATTACATGTGAAAAGACTTTTCTAAATATATCATGACTTTTGACTCTGTGACCTTGACCTAGAAGTTTAACCTACTTTTCAAAAATATTATATTGTATATATAACTTTTGATTCAAAAGAGATAGGACTTTCATATTTGACATGTACATTACCTGCAACAAAATGTTTCAGAGCATGCTATGATTTTTCCCCTTTGACCCAATTTTCAAAAATTGATATATGATAGGGGTGCATATTTGACACACAATCTGCCATAAATTATGGTATCTCATTCACTAAAACACAGAAAGCAGAGGACCACAATTCTTTGAATTTGCTTGTATAATCTTGATAGATGGAAACATGCTCATATAATGTAGATTCAAGTTTTTTATGCCACACCATGATTAGGAATACATGTATAGTTTTTGTCATGTCCGTCCTCCACCCTTCCATCTGTCTTTCCATC